TAAATAAATAAAGACATGCTAAAAATGTATTAAAATATATTAATTTTGTTTTATTTCATGGGGACATTTAGGTATTTGATGGAATATGTATTAATACTTTATTAATTACATTATTTATTTATTGTAATTTGAATAAAATGGCTCTCCATAGGAAATGGGTGGTTGAGGCTGTGTTTTGAATCTCCATGGGTTAGCACAATAATAAAAGCAATAATGTAAACAAATACAAAAGGAGGGAAACAAACCAAATGTACTAATAATCCAGGGGCTGTAGTTTTCCTCATACTTCATGATGAAGATATTTATTTAATTGAAGAGTAATTTAGCCAGTCAGAAAAAGTTTGAACTTCATATTTATCTTTTATTATTCTTTTCACACTCAAATAACGAGTCTGAGTTTAAAATTTAATTGTACATTCTTTTATTTTGTCACTGAAGCTCGCTCAGAATTTGACATTAATTGCTCACAACTGGCTTTTTGAACATACAGACAGACAAATTGTGCTTTGATTATGAAATAAAAATGTACAAAGATTTGACACAGTGAAAAGTAATAAAAAGGAAAATCACCTAATGAAATCCAGGCATGTTTTTTTTGTATTCACCAGAACAATAAACTAATGTATTACAAATAAGATGGTGCCCTCAACTTAATTTACATCAACCCATTGAATTTTCATTCTTCTAGTCAGTGTCGTATAAAGTACCACATAGTGATACTTGAGTAAAAGTACAAGTATCTTACCAAAAAACTTACTTTGGGAAAAGGTAAAGTCTCCTTTAGGAATATTACTTGAGTAAAAGTCTTAAAGTATCTGATTTTTTTTTTGTACTTAAGTATTAAAAGTATTGATTTAAAATTAGCAGTTAGATTTTTCGTAATGACATTTATTAGGAGTTGACCTCCCCAAAAAATACAGAAATTACTATATTGTAATAAAATAATGAATTGATGTTAAATTTAGGATGTGCTAGTCTGTTTCAGTTTATATACATAAATCAAGGCTGCACAAACCTTTTCCCCCAAAATGAAAATCTATCTGAGGGCTGCGGCCAAATACAAATATAATTCATGAAATACAAATACTTCTTAGGGGCAGCCTTTTTTATTTTTATTTTTTTGAATGATTAAGTGAGCAGCCAGTGCGGTGGCCCACATTTTTGACTAACTGCAATACTTACTGTATCCTTTATATTGTCATTGGGCCAATGAATGGAATGACGTTTTGGCCCACAGGCCACTCTTTTATGGAAGCAGTTGTGTTCCATTATCAATCAATCAATCAATCAATCAATCAATCAATCAATCAATCAATCAATCAATCTATCTATCTATCTATCTATCTATCTATCTATCTATCTATCTATC